AGATTGATAGATTAGTAGATAGATAGATAGATAGATAGATAGATAGATAAGATAAGATAGATAGATAGATAAGATAGATAGCTAGATAGAGATTAGATAGATAGATAGATAGGATAGATAGATGATAGATAAGATAGGTAGATAGTATGATAGATAATGATAGATAGATCGATAGAAGATAGATAAGATAGTAGTAGATAGTAGATAGGATAGATAGATAAGATAGATAGATAGATAGATAGCTAGATAGATAGGATAGATGAATTATAGATAAATAGATAACTAGACAGATTTCAGATAAATAGGACAGATAGATAAATTGTCTCAAATCATATCTTACATAATATTCAAATGCCGATTTCAAATATTTTTCATATAAAATTTTGACTTAAACAACTAATTTTTCATATTTTCACCCTAAACTAATCCACTTTCACAATATTTATTAAATATTTAAACTCTATAATTTCTGAAAATCGTGACAGAAAAACTGACATGAATGTATAAACCTATGATTTACTTAAACATGAACAAATTAATCTTCATCACTTCAAACTAGTGAAATTATTAACTCTACACCAAACTTTCACACGAAACGTGTTTTATTGTTACAGTTATTGTTGATTTCATGCAATATTCAATTTTTTTTTTTTACATGATAATATACAAGTACATACATACATATGTACATGTAAATTGAAATATGTAAAAGTTTGAGAAGTCAAACAAGACCTTAGAGTGCCCTATAGGAACTGTAAGAAGTTTAAAAATTTTACGAAATTAAAAAATCATATTGGTAGTAATTAACCAATATGATTTTTAGGATAAACACAAAAGAATATTTTATATCAAAATTTTGAGAGATTAAACAATTTTTATTAAGTAATAATTTCACTAATAGATGTAAATAACATTAATGTCAGACTAGGATGAATCATAAAAATAGCCCTTGACCAAATTACAAGAAGTATATGTTGAATATTTCTACAATTGTTACAATAATTTGCCTCTAATTTAAAATATCACAAACCACTTGGTACAGACAAGATAAAAAAAATGTATGTATGTGAAATAATAGAAACGGAATAATATTTCAACAATTGATATAGAAAAAAAATATATAATCGATTATATGTATATGATCTCAACACAATTGAAATAAAATTGCCGCTAGTAAAGTAATCATGCAGTTAGTCAACACATGTCAAAAGATTGTTAGACTTTATCACAATTAATAAGTGAAAAATAAATGAAATAATAAAAATTCCGGAGAAACGGGGGGAAGGATGGGGGGAGAAGAAGGGGGACGCGCGGGAGGAGAGGGGGAGGCGGAGGGGGGGGGGAGGGGGAAAAGGTGACAGGAAGAGGGGAAGGAAGAGAGGAAAAAAGAAGGAGGGGAAAAAGGAGGGGGGGAGGGCAAAGAAAGGGGAAGGGGAGGGTAGAGGGGAAGGAAGAGGGGGAGGAGGGAAACGAGCAGGAGGGAGAAGAAGAGAAAGAAGAGCGAAGAGAAGAGAAAGAAGAGCGAGCGAGCGAGCGAGCGAGCGAGCGAGCGAGCGAGCGAGCGAGCGAGCGAGCGAGCGAGCGAGCGAGCGAGCGAGCGAGCGAGCGAGCGAGCGAGCGAGCGAGCGAGCGAGCGAGCGAGCGAGCGAGCGAGCGAGCGAGCGAGCGAGCGAGCGAGCGAGCGAGCGAGCGAGCGAGCGAGCGAGCGAGCGAGAGCGAGCGAGCGAGCGAGCGAGCGAGCGAGCGAGCGAGGAGCGAGCGAGCGAGCGAGCGAGCGAGCGAGCGAGCGAGCGAGCGAGCGAGCGAGAGAGGAGCGGGCGAGGAGCGAGCGAGCGAGCGAGCGAGAGAGCGAGCGAGCGAGGAGCGAGCGAGCGAGCGAGCGAGCGAGCGAGCGAGCGAGCGAGCGAGCGAGCGAGCGAGCGAGCGAGCGAGCGAGCGAGCGAGCGAGCGAGCGAGCGAGCGAGCGAGCGAGCGAGCGAGCGAGCGAGCGAGCGAGCGAGCGAGCGAGCGAGCGAGCGAGCGAGGCGAGCGAGCGAGCGAGCGAGCGAGCGAGCTAGGAGCGAGCGAGCGAGCGAGCGAGCGAGCGAGCGAGCTAGCGAGCGAGCGAGCGAGCTAGCGAGCTATCTATCTATCTATCCTATCTATCTATGTAGCTATCTATCTATCTATCTATCTATCTATCTATCTATCTATCTATCTATCTATCTATCTATCTATCTATCTATCTATCTATCTATCTATCTATCTATCTATCTATGCTATCTATCTATCTATCTATCTATCTATCTATCTATCTATTTTCTTCAGTAGGACTGGTATAAAACTAATATAAAACATGGTCAATTACGTAATAAGAACAAGGTTAACTTGTTCTTTATAGAAAAAAATGTTAATCGGGTTAAAACGTTATGTAAAATACATATAATAAATGTATAATAGATCTGGATTAGCAATGATAAGAATTTAAAAGCGAATAAAAGATGTTATAATTGCAGTTGATCAAATAAGGTAAAATATTGAATATCGCATATTAAAATGGAATAACATACATATTTAAATCGAAATCAAACTATATTCTTTATAGTTGTTTTCAAATTATGATACTTTTTAGTTTGCTTTTTGGAGTATATTTCAGTTTATCATTTTTTACTTAATTTATTATGTATTTGACAATCTACATCATTTTCATTTATCTTTTTATTCCATAATCTGTGTAACATAAAACGAATGCATTTAACATTGCAAATTATTCTTTGTTCTAATAACAACGAATCAATTAAATATTATGATAATTTTTCGTAATCAATGTATGAATTTTATTACAATAAATAAATATAAAATAAGTATTTAACGAGCATTTAGGTGAGTAGACAAAACGTTAAGAAAAGTATTAGATTTATTAATTATTCGCATTTAAATTATTTATAATGGTACTATTTAAAAACATTTATGTTAAAAATAGAAAAAACGTTTAAAAAATTCTACTTAGTTCAAATTTCACGTTATTTAAAACAAAGAAAATTGAGAAAATATGAAGTAAAAGCTATAATAGTCAAGTGTAACTACAGTCCAGTCTATAGTGTCGAATATAGTCTGATCTTTAATACAAGCTAGACTATAGTCTGGTTTGCAATTTAGTCTATAGTTTAGTCTATAGTCTAGTCTATAGTCTAGTCTAGTCTATAGTCTATAGTCTAGTCTATAGTCTATAGTCTAGTCTAGTTCTAGTCTATAGTATAATCTATAGTCTAGTCAATAGTCTAGCAATAGTCTAGTCAATAGTCTATTCAATAGTCTAGTCTAGTCAATAGTCTAGTCTAGTCTATAGTCTAGTCTACAGTCTAGTCTATAGTCTATAGTCTATAGTCTAGTCTAGTCTAGTCTAGTCTATAGTCTAGTCTAGTCTATAGTCTATAGTCTAGTCTAGTCTATAGTCTAGTCTAGTCTAGTCTAGTCTATAGTCTAGTCTAGTCTAGTCTAGTAGTCTATAGTCTAGTCTAGTCTAGTCTATAGTCTAGTCTATAGTCTAGTCTAGTCTATAGTCTAGTCTATAGTCTAGTCTAGTCTATAGTCTATAGTCTATAGTCTATAGTCTATAGTCTATAGTCTATAGTCTATAGTCTATAGATAGTCTATAGTCTATAGTCTATAGTCTATAGTCTATAGTCTATAGTCTATAGTCTAGTCTAGTCTAGTCTAGTCTATAGTCTATAGTATAGTCTATAGTCTAGTCTAGTCTATAGTCTAGTCTATAGTCTAGTCTATAGTCTAGTCTATAGTCTAGTCTATAGTCTAGTCTATAGTCTAGTCTATAGTCTAGTCTATAGTCTAGTCTATAGTCTAGTATAGTCTAGTCTATAGTCTAGTCTATAGTCTAGTCTATAGTCTAGTCTATAGTCTAGTCTATAGTCTAGTCTATAGTCTAGTCTATAGTCTAGTCTATAGTCTAGTCTATAGTCTAGTCTATAGTCTAGTCTATAGTCTAGTCTATAGTCTAGTCTATAGTCTAGTCTATAGTCTAGTCTATAGTCTAGTCTATAGTATAGTCTATCAGTCTAGTCTATAGTCTAGTCTATAGTCTAGTCTATGTCTAGTCTATAGTCTAGTCTATAGTCAGTCTATAGTCTAGTCTATAGTCTAGTCTATAGTCTAGTCTATAGTCTAGTCTATAGTCTAGTCTATAGTCTAGTCTATAGTCTAGTCTATAGTCTAGTCTATAGTTAGTCTATGCTAGTCTATAGTCTAGTCTATAGTCTAGTCTAAGTCTAGTCTATAGTCTAGTCTATAGTCCTAGTCTTAGTCTAGTCTATAGTCTAGTCTAGTCTAGTCTATAGTCTAGTCTATAGTCTAGTCTATAGTCTAGTCTATAGTCTAGTCTATAGTCTAGTCTATAGTCTAGTCTATAGTCTAGTCTATAGTCTAGTCTATAGTCTAGTCTATAGTCTAGTCTATAGTCTAGTCTATAGTCTTCTATAGTCTAGTCTATAGTCTAGTCTATAGTCTAGTATAGTCTGTCTTAGTCTAGTCTAGTCTAGTCTAGGTCTAGTCTATAGTATATAGTCTAGTCTAGTCTAGTCTAGTCTATAGTCTAGTCTATAGTCTAGTCTTAGTCTAGTCTATAGTCTAGTCTATAGTATAGTTATAGTCTATAGTCTAGTCTATAGTCTAGTCTAGTCTATAGTCTAGTCTAGTCTATAGTCTATAGTCTAGTTAGTCTAGTCTATGTCTAGTCTATAGTCTAGTCTATAGTCTAGTCATATAGTCTAGTCTCTAGTCTAGTCTATTGTCTAGTCTATAGTCTAGTCTATAGTCTAGTCTATAATCTAGTTATAGTGTAGTTATAGTCTAGTCTATAATCTAGTCTATAGTCGTGTCTATAGATTAGTCTATAGTCTACTCTATAGTCTAGTCTATAGTCTACTCAATAGTCTAGTTATAGTCCTCGAATAATCTTTCCTGTTCTTAAGTGTGACTATAATCTTAACTTAAAATCTATAAACATAATAATACTCACGTTGTCGGGTTCATCCAAATATAGTACCGGTGGATACTTATTAATTCCAAAGCAATAGCTAAACGTTTCTTTGTCCACCCGACAGCTTTGCTGTAAAGACATTGAAACGATGATCCAAACCCAGCAGCGATAGAATATGTTTGACTAAATTTAATTTTTTCTGTTTAGAGATCTTAAAGCCCAATTTTAAATGGGCGGCAAGCATCATTATTTCACCCACAGTTAATTGGGGTCTTAACAAATCATCCTGATGTATATAACAGGATAATTCACGATATTTTTGAGAGTTGGTAGACACCACTTTGCCATTGACCCGTATGGTGCCGTTGACACCAGTAGAACTGTAAGAAAACAGAAAAACAAATTATTAATTGAAATTTAACTTTAAAAACATACACATAAATCTTCTAGCATAAATAATCTGTTTTCTTCTTTTTTAATTGTTTATAAATGTTTTCCTCTTTTTTCAAGTTCAAGCGTCATTGACCATTTTGAATGTATTTTTTTCGTTTTTATTGTTTATATTTAATAACAATAATCATTATTATTTAAAAAAAATATATATTTTTATATTGATGTTTTTCTTTTCGGTTTTTGCTCTGTAGACAATATTGTTTGTGTTGAGTCTGAACCATAATTATGAGTTGCATCATTCATTCACTTTTATTTTCGTTTTAAAAATTTATTATACGTTTAAATTGTTTATAGATGCAATGGAAATTTATGTTCATAAATATACAAAAAAAAAAAAAAGAGTTGATTAGCTTCAGTTATCGCGTTAAACCCTCAAGCATTTTTGTGTGGTATTTTGTCATCCACAAAATTTTGTTGTTTGTCCATAAGAAATAAAAAATTGCAAATCTGGAATTTTTCTAGAAATTTTTGTTTTTTAAAATTTCTTGTGTTTTTTGCAATATCATATTAATGTCGGATTAATGTTTTATTTTAATCAAATGTTGTGGTTCCCAATTGTTATTTGAATGTCTGTTCTTCTAATATTTTACAAAATATTTGCATTTGAAAATAAACATTTTATGTTTTTTAACCCACCCAACCAAATATCTCTTGATTTTGTTCAAAATCTACCAAATTCTTTATGTAAAATTTAACTTTAGGGAAATGTTCGAGTATTTGATTTCATATTGATATTAAATTGAATATGGGGGCTTGGATCAGTTGTGGACATTATGTCCGATTCCCACATATTTGTAGAAAATGTTATCCTTCTAACTACACCTGCTTAGAACATATAGACTAGAGTGTCTTAGAATGTAAGGAGAACAGAGAATATATATATTTTTTTTAAGGCTCTCGGACCAATATTTCGATGTGTAACAAACGGAATAATATCACCCCTAGAACGAATAGAAGTGAAATTTCCATTTCCCTGTAAGGGAAAATTGCTATCGTGAACATACTGTGAACAATTCATTCACAATAGTTGATTTTGTATGCAACAGCTGTTCATTGTTTACAAAATACCATCAAAAACTTTTACAAGGATATTTTTCTTACGTCAAAAAAATATGTTTACATCGTTGAAAGCGTCTTATAGTCATCCGAACGAATATATTGTCTTTTACGCGGAAATCATTGCAGGCATACATTATGAAGATCATATGTTACATTCTAGCGGGAATTTATGATAGATGAAATGGGCAAGAAACAGCTGAGAACAATTGTCCACTACGAGTAGGTAGATCTGCCCGGGAGAAACAGAGGAGGATGAGTATCGCAGTAAACTTGGTAAATATAAGTAAATCGAGACTTCTGGATGCTTAAGATAGTGTAAGTCTAACTAAAATGTATGTCCAACGGGAATATATGATCGATGAGATGGACAGGAGACAGGAAGATAGGGGATGAAAGGGATGCCTAACATAGAGCTAGTTATTACAACTGACATGGTTAAGGAAGCAATCAAGTGTTTTTTACAAGACTCCAGGACCGGATGATACTTGTTTCGACACATCTGTCAAATCCTAAAGAGAAGATGACAAGACGTCGATTAGTCGAAGTCTTTTTCTAAGCAAAGCTTTCAAAAATCCACTAGAACATGATGCTGCTTTAGTATAGAGAAAATAAAAGTTATACCTCTAATATGCATTTCTATATTATGAATAATAACAGATTTTTATCTAGTTTTGTTTTATTTTTTCAAATTCTCTTTAACTCGTTTCTAAAGTTTATTGAACCCTAAACACATTCACTAAAACAAAGGAAATTAATAAATTATTGTACTATATCCCATACAAACTTTCTTAAATGAAGATTGCTCAGTTTAAATCAAATGATTCATTTATAAATCTTTGTTAGCTTTTCTCATTTTTTGGTTTAAATTTAAAAACGTGTATTAAATTGGTGTGAAACAATTTAATACTTTAAAATTTATCCTTTTCATACGGAGCAAAAGGCACGTATGCGTTTTCTTAATTATAGCACACACGTTTTGCATTTATTATTTCAGAACAACAACCAAAAAAAATGTGGAACTCGTGCAATTCTTTGGAAAAGTTATTCATCAAAAATGTAATAAAATATCTGCTTAATAATTAAATAATAAAAAAACAAGTTAATATTTTTTGTCAAATTAAAGTTTCTACATTAAATTTGGTACTTTTTTTTCGGCTAAATGATTAAAGCTTTAATAACGGTTCAAAGGCTGGATTTATTTTAATTTACGACATTTTTATTGTTGTTCTAAATCAAATAAATTAAATTGCAGGTTGCTAAAATTTAGGAATCAAATTAAAATGGTTTCATTTTAGTATTTTAGGTCCTTCTAGTAAGATACGTTTAAATAAGGTTCAATATGTTTCAACTATTGAGTCGGCTTTTTGACTTTTTTTTTCAGAATTATTGACTTTTTTCGATTTTTATCTACAAAATCGATTTTTTTCGACTTTTTCTTGCAAGATAGTCGACTTTGTTAGGACAAATAGTCGACTTCGACTATTTTCTTTGAAAGTCGATTTAAAGAATATGACTTCTAAACTAGGGTTCTATAGTTGACTTTTCGAATTTTTTATAATTTTTTAATATCGACTATTCCCGATATTTTGCCTATTCCTTATTTATAGACTTTTTGTCATTTCCCGACTTTGATCTACAAATACGTTTATTTGACTTTACGTTTAGTCGACTTTATTAAGACAAAATAGTCGATTTCGATTTTGCGACTCTTTTCGACTTCTATTCGAAAGTCTATAAAACTCGACTTCTAAATCGAACACTTTTTTATAATTAAAGCAAAACGTCTGCTTTGGACTTTTTTAATATCGATTTTTTCCGATTGTTTTCGTCTTTTTCTGACTTATCGACTTTGTGCAGTTTTTTCGACATATTTCGACTTTTATCTACAAAATTGTTATCTTGACTTTTTTCTTACAAGAGAGTCGACTTTGTTAGAACTAAATATTAAAAAAAAAATAAGATGGTTCGATAGTCGATTTATAGAATCAGACTTCTAAAGCGTAGACTTTAAACTAGGGGTTCTGTAGTTGATACAAAAAGCCAGGTTTTCGACCTTTTTATCATTTTTTAATATCGACTTTTTCCGATTGTTTTCCCTTTTTTTCGACTTTTTTCTTACAAGATAGTCGACTTTGTTAGGATAAAATAGTCCAGATCGAATCTTTTCGACAAAAATTAGATGGTTCGAAAGTCGTTTTATAGAATCCGACTTTTAAGCGAACTAGATAAAACAAAAAGTCAGCTTTTCAACTTTTTCTATAATTTTGACTTTGTCAGATTTTTTCTGGCTTAATGATTTTTTTTTTACTTTTTTCGACATATTTCGACTTTTTTCCTTACAAGATTTTGTTATGAGAAAATAGTCGACTTTATTAGGACAAAATAATCAAAAATTCGATGGTTCGATAGTCGATTTATAGAATCCGACTTCTAAATCAAACACTTTAATTTAGGATTCTATGGTTGAAGCAAAAAGTCGACCTCTCGACTATTTTTTTAATTTTTTTAATTTCGATTTTTCAACTATTTTTCTTACAAGATCGACTTCTTAAAAAATCGACTTCGATTTTTCGACTCTTTTTGACAAAAACTCGACTGTTTTAAATTCTATTTATAGAACCCGACTTTAAAAGAGGACACTTTAAACTAGGGTTCTATAGTTGAAAGAAGATATCGGCTTATCGACTTTTTTTTTATCAATGTTTATATCATTTTTTTTAAAGATTTTTTAACAACTTCCGACTTTGATGTATAAAACTATATTATTCGCCTTTTGTTATTACTAGATAGTCGACTCGATTGCCCGAAAGTCGATTTGTGGAAAAAAGCTTCTTTCAAAGCGAACTCTTTTTGTAAAAAAAAAAAAACAAAGTTGACTTTCCGACTTTTTTCATTTTACAAAAAGTCGATTTTTCGACTTTTTACAATTTCACATTAAGTATGTCCCCTTTTCACTTTTTTCGTTCACTATCTTTTTTGTCGTGAAAAAATTCCACTGTTGTGAAATTTTTTGATGGAATTTTGTAAACATTGAACAGCTGTTGTATACAAAATCAACTATTGTGAATGAATTGTTCACAATAAGTTCACGATAGCAATTTTCCCTTTGAGGGGAAACAAAATTTTCAATTCTTTTGGCGATTGGGGTGATTATTTCTAAACCCTTTAAACGCCTTCTATTTTATTTAATTTCTTATCTAGTAGTTGAAATTTACTATTTTGTTTATAGTTAAATTATTTTTTTTTCTATTAAAGATAATAATTTTAACTTTTATTAAGCAAAAAAAAAAAAAACTGTTGGCATTTAATCATTATTAACCGAATAACCTAAAAACATTTTTACAATAAATAACTGCAAACTAAGATAATCTTAAAACTTTTGGCCAGTTATTAACGTAATAGTTTTCAATATGAATTAGTTACTCTTTCAATAGAAAACGTTTTGCAAATTCAAAACGTTTAGCAACAATTTTGTTAAGGTTTACTTTAGAATTTTAACATTGGCGGTTGATTATAGAAAACACAAATAATATTTGCAATTGTTTTCTGATAAGCTCATATAATATTTTATACTACTCATATATCATGGATTATGAAAAAGTTAGTCATTAATTGAAATACTATATAGAAAAATATAGATATACCCTAACGACGCAATTTTATTCCCGGCCTTCATTGAATGTTTTCGTTGTATTTTGTTTAAAGATAAAGTTTTTATTCTGCAAAAATTAAGCATATTATAAAATTTAATTCATTTAAGCAAAAGTTTATTCATTAACGATCGGATTAGTTCCCTAGAATAACAATTCATAATATTTTAAGAAAAAAAAAGCGAACTTATTACGATTCATTCTGAAGACATTATAATGGGCAGATTCCTTCTCGCTTAAGCATTACTAACGTATAGTTATCTTTAATAATCAGTCCTCGTGATAGTCCTATCTAAGCTACCGATCTGAAACATTTATGATATTTTCGAAATCATTTCCTTTAGGGCCATATCTGAACAATTTGTAAAACCCGAGAAAGTTTTATCTGAAATAACAAAATGCATTCTAAAGATATCCTGAAAGACTTTCTTAAAACTCAAACCAGTCAATCGATTTTCTAGTCTAACCTCAATGTTGTTAACAGTTATTTCAGAACGATCAATCCAAAGTCATAATCCCTGTTCTTGATAAAGCAATACGAAGAGAGAAGAAATTTAAATCATATTTTTCTCGTTCTTATTTTGACAACTTAAACAAAAGTCCGTAACAACGCTGTCAGAATATTCTGATATCGAATAGTTAAGTAGTATAAGCAGATCAGCAGGCCATTACTTCTTTAAAATTTAAACTTTACTATTGAATGTCGTTTTACTTTTAATATGACTTCGCCGAGATCTACAAGATTTTAAACATGCTAGTTAGGGATTCTAATGAATCATGATATAACTAGGAAACTAATCTTAAATCATCCTAACCTTAGAATTGCAATATATATAGATCCTGAACGGGATTCTCATAATTTACCTAGAAACATCTGAACTTCTTCATTACGTGGCTCAATCGGGATTTTTTCTGTGTCTTGATAACTTTACTCCAAACGTATTACTCTTTCAAGAAGGATGCTTCAGATGTTCAAGCTAATCAGATGTTCAAGCTAATCTACTTCAGATATTTCATTAGTCGTGGCTTCTTTAATACTTCAAATCTTAAATCAAATGTGAGTCTTTCCCTACTTCCGATTTTACTTCATTCATGTAGAAGCTCCTCTTATAAAATTTCTCTATTCACTATGGAACTGTAATGTATCGTATGATATACCTTCATTCGCTACTGACAGCTTTTGTCAAGGAATGAACATCAATCTAAATTTTTTCAATATCGTATATTATTAATTATTATAATGCAAATTACTTCTGGAGGCATAGATTTTCGAACTAATTTTACTGCAACCTAAGAACATTGTATATTAATTGCAATTGTTAAATAAGTTATTAAATTAATTGACTTAAACATCAATTAATATTTCATTATTATTGCTATTCACTTAAATCAAGTATTAAATTACTAAGAACTGGTATAAAATAAATACTATATATGTACATATATATTATTTAAACTGTGTTAATTGTCAAATAATATAAGAGAAAACAAAAATCACAATAATTATTATTATAGAACGCATTATTAAGTGCAGTTGCACTAGAGGTGTGTTATAAAGTCACCGATTTTAATTTTCGTAGGTTAATAGCACTGGAATTTCAGAATACTTGTTAATTGTTTTTTCTCTTGTCAGGTTATAAACTGGTTATAATTGACGTTTAGTAATAAGAGTTATATTTGTATGATTTATTTTTTAAGTTACACGTTTTTTTTTTTGGGTAAAATACCCTTGAAAATTAGATTTTTTTACAAATTAATTTGTTTTTCTTAGAATTGTAGTATATTTTTGAAATATTTTAAAATACTTTTTCCCTAAATTTTACCGAAATTGCTAATTAATTGATAGACTTCCATGTAAGAATTTGAAAATAAATCTTAATTTTTAGTATAATATTCGTTTTAGTACTATAATGTTATAAATTTTATAAAATATATTTACCTAAAGCCACTCATAACATTTAGTAGAGTACTTTTACCGGAACCTGATGGTCCCATAATTGCTGTTAATTCACCGGAACGAAAAGCTCCATTAATACTATGAAGAATTTCTTTTGTTACTGCAAATAAAGAAAATATTTTAAGGAAATTTATTAGAAACTTAAAATAAAAAAACGTCAGAGTATATATCAATCGTGGCTCTTATTTTTAATACTTACCAAATTTAGCTTCAGAAAATGAAAATTTACTAACTGTATATTTAACCTTCTCAAATTCGATATCCACTTTTTTGCAACGTGAAAAATTATCATCATATAAATTGTCTGATAAATTATTAACTTTTGTCGATGAATTCGAATTCGAATTTGATGAACTGGAAGTAGTTTGATCTATGGATATTTCCGAACTGGCAGCAGTGGAACAGCAATTAATGCCTAAAACACCAGTACCACAATCAGACGTATTGGCAACACTGCCACACCCACTTAAGGGTTTTATATCGTTTATAACAGTCATTTGGTTACAATTGTGGTGCTATGATTAAATTTTATTTGTTATTATTAAAGAAAAATTACAGGTTTATCTTCAGTTAAGTCTGTAATAAAGGAAATAGAAAAAAATTTAAAGAAATTATTATTACAAATGTTTTAATTAAAAAGAAGGAGGAAAAAAAACAACATGTTGCTTATGTAAATTATTAGCTTATTGTTGTTATTATTATAATAATATGTTAAATATATTGTAAATAGCTGGTAATTTATAAAACGTTTTGTATTCTATTTAAAATTCTTATAAGGTAGTAAAATCATAGAAAATAAACAAGTGACAAAATGAAAAAAAAAAATATAATCAATTGTAATGTAATAAGATAATGCCAATAACGTTTGTAAATGAAAAATACACCGTTTAAAATAATTATAGAACTACATAAACAAATTATACTAATTTCTAACATAACACATTTAAATGATAATTATGAACAAAACTGTAATAATGGAAAGTTTTTTATAGAATAAAAAACGGGTAATTGTTGGGGTTATTTCACGTACATCAAGATTGGAGCATTTAAAAAACTACACGTGTTTCTAACTATTGTGACTTCTGTTTAAGATTTAATATTATTTGTTCATTATCTTCTTCAAATTGTATATCTATCTTGACTCTTTCTTTACTTAAAATTTGACGTCAATCATTACTCTTTCTCTATTTTCTTTCTTTATTTCAAATACATCAACCGTGAGTAATTTTCTACTTCAAATTATTCACTGACGGTTGTCATTTATCGACTTCAAACTTTAAATTATCAATCGTAAGTCATTCTCTAATTAAAATTTTACATCAATCGTAAGTCATTCTCTAATTAAAATTTTACATCGATCGTGAATCTTTCTCTTCTTCAAAATTTACATCAATTGTGAGTCTTTCTCATCTTAAAGTTTTACATCAATCGTGTCTCTTTCTCTACGTCATATTTTATATCAATCGTGACTCATTCTCTACTTAAAATTTTACATCAGTCTTGAGTCTCTCTCTACTTTAAATTAATCATTCTTCTTCAAACATATCAAACTTTGCATAAATCATTTCTCTTTCTCTTCTGCCCAATTTTACATCAAACGTATCTCTTTCTCTACTTCAAATTTTACATAAATCGTGAATCTTACTCTATTTCAAATTGTACACCAATCATGACTTTTTCTCTACTTCATATTTTACGTCATCTGTGAATCTTTCTTTACTTCAAATTTTACATCAATCGTAAATATTTCTCTACTTCAAACTTTACATTAATCGTGACTCTTTCTCTACTTAAAATTTTACATCAATCGTGGGACTTCACCTACTTCAAACTTTACATCAATCGTGACTCTTTCTCTACTTAAAAGTTTACAACAATCATGAATCTTTCTCTACTTCATATTTTACATCAATCGTAAGTATTTCTCTACTTAAAACTTTACATAAATCGTGACTTTTTCTCAAATTCATATTTTACGTTATCCGTGAATCTTACTCTATTTCAAATTGTTCATCAATCGTCACTCTTTCTCTACCTCATAGTTTACGTCCGTGAATCTTTCTTTACTTCAAATTTTACATCAATCGTAAATATGTCTCTACTTCAAACTTTAAATTAATCGTGACTCTTTCTCTACTTGAAATTTTACATCAATCGTGAATCTTTTACTAATTCATATTTTACATTCTCTACTTAAAATTTTATATCAATCATGACACTTCCACTACTTCAAACTTTACATCAATCGTGACTCTTTCTCTACTTAAAAGTTTACGTCAATCATGAATCTTTCTCTACTTCATATTTTACATCAATAGTAAGTATTTCTCTACTTAAAATTTTACATCTATCGTGATTCTTTCTCTACTTCATATTTTACATCAATCGTAAGTCTTTCTCTACTTAAAATTTTCCATTAATCGTGACTTTTTCTCTACTTCATATTTTACGTCATCGTACATCTTTCTTTACTTCAAATTTTATATCAATCATGGCTCTTTATCTACTTCATATTACTGATCGTAACTCTTTCTCTACTTCATATTTTACATCAATTGTGACTCACTCGCCATTCAAAAATTTGACATCAATCGCACACCTTCCTACTTTACATCTATTATAACTCTTTCTCTACTTTAAATTGATAACTGATCGTAACTATTTCTTGACTTCTCTACATAACTCATGACTCTTTCTCTTCGTCATAATTTTACATCAAACTTGAATCATTCTTTACTTTAAATTCGACAACAATCATGGCTGATTATATCTCCTTTTAATTAATGACTGATCGTGGCTATTACTTGACTTCAAACTTGACATCATTCATGACTCTTTTCCTTCTTTAAATTTTACAGCAATCGTGGATCTTTCTCGATTTCAAATTTTACATCAATCTTGGATTTTTCTTTAGTGCAAATTTTACATCAATCTGGAGTCTTTCTTACCTTTAAATTGATAACTGATCGTGGCTATTTCTTGACTTCGAACTTTACTTCATTCATGACTCTCTTTCTCTTCTTAATATTTCACATCAATCGTGGATCTTTTTCTATTTCAAATTTAACATCCATCTTGTTTTATTTTCTAGTGCAAATTTTATATCGATCATGAATCTTTCTCTAAGTTAAATTGATAACTGATCGTGACTATTTCTTGACTCCAAACTCTATATAACTCATGCCTCTTCCTCAAAATTTTACATCAAACTTGACTCATTCTTTAAATTTTGCAACGAATTATTTATTAATCATCTTTCTCTACTTTAAATTAATCACTGATCGTGGCTATTACTTGATTTCAAACTTTTCATCATTCATGACTCTTCCTCTTCTTATATTTTACATCAATTTTGTTTTATTCTCTAGTGCAAATTTTATATCGACCATGAATCTTTCTCTAAGTTAAATTGATAACTGATCGTGGCAATGTCTTGACTTCAAACTTTACATTAATCTGGTTATTTCTGCAATTAAAGTTTATCGCTGATCGTGTTTTAATTGAACATTTATCGGGAATCCTTTCTGGTTACTTTACCTAAATTGCTCCTAATTCCTGATCGGAATGTTTTACATTGATCGCGACTCTCTCTATTCTAAAATATTTTACTAAATTTATAATTAGTTTTTGGACTGTTACAACTATTAAATATTAATAAATCATATCGTTGTCAACACTTTTTTAAACAAATAAAAAATATTGAAAAACAATATTCACCTGTGATGTCATTTTAAGCGATTTATGGATCTAAATAAAACGGAAGCAACTACCAGAGAGTGATAACAACCAGACAAGAAATATTTTATTTATTTATTTCATTTGCAAAGGTGAAGGTGATTTTTCAAAACATTATCTATAAAGGAAAATTCTTGAAATTTTATAAAAAACAACATTTTTCTTTTTAAATTCTAGAAAACTTATTATCAGGTATTTCTGAAAACTCGTCAATAATTTTACTTATTTAAGGGTCAAGTTTTAAGCTGACTTTAAAATTTATTATATTAGATTAAAAATATATTAGATTAAAAATATAAATAAGAAACATTAAATAGAAATAAAATTTATTTAAATTAATTTTTTAATGAATCATAATTATTTGAATTACAAAAATAAATCGAATGATTAAAAGTAAACAAATTGGACTTTGTCAAGGGATTAATATATTGTATAATAAAAATTTCAATTAACACGGATTTTTAATTAAAAAACTTAAAGTTCATTGTTAAAACTACAACAATGAAATAATTTGAAATTAAAAGTATTGTTTTAATAATGAGAAAATTAATTGTAGAGATTAAAGTAGAGTAGGAGGGTGGGTGTAGTATATTCACAGATGATTTATTTGTTTTACAAATAAATTATATTAATTATAATTGTCCAAGTAAACGCTTAACGTGAACACATGCGATTCGTCATTTTCTTGATTTTTATCTTAATTTGTTTATATTTAACATTGTTAAGGGTTTAATTAACAAACAAAAAAATAAAACAAATATTTTGCATTAAATGCAACAGAGAGTTTACGGAGACCATAAAAGTATTTTAACAATTAAAAATTTTATATGGTAAATAAATTTTAAAATGAAAGTATTGTTTACTTATTAAGTAAGCAAATTTTACTTTACATGCCCGCCCGTCTTGATAAATACTTAGAAAATATATAGTCTAGTCCATAGTCTAGTCCATAGTCTAGTCTTTAGTCTAGTGTAGTCTTTAGTCTAGTCTAGTCTTTAGTCTAGTCTAGTCTTTAGTCTAGTCTATAGTCTAGTCTATAGTCTAGTCTATAGTCTAGTCTATAGTCTAGTCTATAGTCTAGTCTATAGTCTAGTCTATAGTCTAGTCTATAGTCTAGTCTATAGTCTAGTCTATAGTCTAGTCTATAGTCTAGTCTATAGTCTAGTCTATAGTCTAGTCTAGTCTATAGTCTAGTCTATAGTCTAGTCTATAGTCTAGTCTATAGTCTAGTCTATAGTCTAGTCTATAGTCTAGTCTATAGTCTAGTCTATAGTCTAGTCTATAGTCTAGTCTATAGTCTAGTCTATAGTCTAGTCTATAGTCTAGTCTATAGTCTAGTCTATAGTCTAGTCTATAGTCTAGTCTATAGTCTAGTCTAGTCTAGTCTATAGTCTAGTCTATAGTCTAGTCTATAGTCTAGTCTATAGTCTAGTCTATAGTCTAGTCTGTAGTCTAGTCTATAGTCTAGTCTATAGTCTAGTCTATAGTCTAGTCTATAGTCTAGTCTGTAGTCTAGTCTATAGTCTAGTCTATAGTCTAGTCTATAGTCTAGTCTATAGTCTAGTCTATAGTCTAGTCTATAGTCTAGTCTATAGTCTAGTCTATTGTCTAGTCTAGTGTATAGCCTATAGTCTATAGTTTATAGTCTATAGTTTAGTCTAGTCTAGTATGTAGTCTAGTCTAGTCTAGTCTATAGTCTAGTCTAGTCTATAGTCTAGTCTAGTCTATAGTCTAGTCTAGTCTATAGTCTAGTCTATAGTCTAGTATATAGTCTAGTCTATAGTCTAGTCTATAGTCTAGTCCGTAGTCTAGTCTATAATCTTGTCTATAGTCTAGTCTAT